ATCTATTAAGGATCTTTTTACTAGTATCAACTCTCGTTTAATTATAGATTTATTAAAAGAAATTAAATTGTTTGCAAAATTTTGATTAATAATATTGTATAAAAACTATGTTTTAAACTTGGTGGAATAAATTAACAACTGCGATTGTTAGTGGCTGTATCCTCGAAGGGGGTTAAAGTACAGTAAAATTTTTGTCCCCCGGAGAGGATACATAAGTTCCATTTCTTTCAAAGTAAATTTATAGCTATCACATTTTTAATCGTAGAATATTTGTTCGTTTTAATTGGTGGTTAATATTGACTACAATCGCCAGCGACTGAAGAGATGGTGTAAATCCTGCTTGGGAGCCGTGCAGGTAGCAAAAGCATCGTAAGTCCCCTCGGTCCCTAGTGTGGTGGCTTTGGTTGCTGGCGATCAAAAGCCTTTTTTATATTGTGTTGTTGAATTGTACCTTATTCTTTTATATACTCTCAAACTAGTTTTAACTAAAATCTGTGATACTCTAGTTATTGTACTGTCCTTTGGCGACAGGTATTTTACAAGTTGGAATTTCTTTGTAAGCAAATGTTTGACTCGTCACGATATGGCTGTAATATTGCCGATGTGACGTAAAATTTTAACTCACTCACTCACTCAATAACCAAGAGTTTTGGCCAGGAATCAGACACAAATTGATAAACATCTGACGAAGAAGAAAGATGTCTTCTCTTTTTTTGCTTTTACAGAACCAGAGTGTAATGTTTGAGCCATGGTAGAGTGATGCTTTTCAGCAACCCTGCTTCCCCACCCGCCACCGAGTGTCAACAAGGACGATGTTGCAGCGGAAACCAGACTGAAACATCAGGGCTACAGGGGTTGTATACTCCAGAAACACAGACTTGTATAGCAAGGAGATCTGAAAGAAGAAACGCCAGGCTGGTTTGATCTTCGACATTTTTCTTGAGAAACCCAGAAAACAGAGGTCCATATCACCAGATTGGCCCATGAGCCACCGCCTTCTGGCACAGGACTCTAGGCAAAAGTACCCATACAATGTTGTAGTAAATATATTCACACTTAAGAAACATTTGATGTGATAGATCATTGCACAGTTTCCATGATCAGGGCATGGCGTGACCAGCCGATTGATAGAATCGGGCCCATCCTACCACCCGTCTAGGTGAAGTCAGGGTCAAAGTGGTGCGTTGGGCAAAAGGAACACTGGTTCCTGGATCCTGTGCCCTCAACCACCAGAATCCCTTCCTCCACCGACACAGGGACGCAACCCACGGCAAACAGGTTGTCCATTTTAGTCGCCTCATACGACCAGCAATGGGGTGTTGTGGACTCATTTTGCCCCGGGTCCACACGGGGGAAGAGCTATTAGCGTTACCCAGCACTCACCTAGACGAGGTTGCTCTACAGGAGTGCCCCATAATGTTGTGACGACTAATTAGGCATACCTTAACAGATCTAGCAGCTAAAAATCGAGTGCACACTGTTTCATTGATTGGGGTGATAATGTATGTGAGTGAGTGAGTGAGTGAGTGAGTGAGTGAGTGAGTGAGTGAGTGAGTGAGTGAGTGAGTGAGTGAGTGAGTGAGTGAGTGAGTGAGTGAGTGAGTGAGTGAGTGAGTGAGTGAGTGAGTGAGTGAGTGAGTGAGTGAGTGAGTGAGTTGGGTTTTAACGCCGCTTCTAACAGTATTCCAGTTCTATCACGGCGTGTCACCTTAATGTGGGAGGAAATCCCGAAGTGATGCAGGTCTCAGACGTTTACCACTTTGGTGAAAGCCACGAGCACGGGTATGCTGCTGACAAACCTAGAAATATAATCGGGGCGAACCAGGATTCGATCCCACAATCATAGTTTTCTGGCGCCTTAGGCGACTGGGTCACCCGTGCCCCCGTTAGCGCTTTGAGCATGCAACAAGTGTAAGTGACTAGAGCAATATACGTACACACATTACTAATAAGTTGTGGACATATTATTCAAACGGATGAGCAGACAGAAAAGGCGCCGTAGTGCGATTCAGTAACTCGAGGCAGACAGACCTGGCGCTGGCCCGATCGTTTAAAAAATACCCAGCGCGTAAAACAACGCGAACAAGTTTTAACAACAGCAATGGGAGTTCCGCTAGTGACTGAATTTTCGTTTGCGAGGCGATTTCGCCTGTCATTTTTTATCGTCTGTTTTATCCTATTTCCATTTTTCAAACATAATTTTGTCAAGTATGCCCTCAAGAATTAAAGTCTGCAAAGTCAGTTGAGTTTACTTGCCCTATAGTTTATTTATATAAATGGCAGCTTTTGGGTTATTGTGCGTTCTGGCATAGTATATTATTGTAAAGAATATGCGTTTGTGTTGGAGAATGAATGTTGTTTATAGCCACATACAGCCAAAAATATAAAAATAATTTAGCATGAACCAGACAAAATTAATAGCTCATGACTAATGGGATGATTCACTGTAGGTCACTGAAACTTGGTACATGTCTATTTTAGAGCGGGTCATGAGTAAACTGTTCATAAGGTCACAGTGAAGGTCATACTCATGCCAATTTTATAGTGGTAGCCCACTGAGTTACCATGCCACAGTTTTTAACATGAATGCCCCTCTCAGACACAGTATAGTGACTCCGAGTTGACCCTAATGCCGAGCACCAGGCAGAGTGACATCTTTTAACGTACCATCTTTTATCTTTTAACCCCCGACCTACCGCTCTCCGGGCAGACGCTCCACCACTGACCACGGAGGCGGTCAGTTTAGTAAGGTAATGAAATGATACTGTTTACAACTCATGGATTTCAAATGAATCCTCATCCCCCGCAAACTTCATACGAACCACAGCATCGCCCCACATGAAAACGACAAAGCGCTTTCAATACTCAAGAGAAATCTCTGCCAAAAGCAGAATCGATTGTTCGATTCCGACTCTATCATAAGCATGTGTTAATGAATCACTATCATATGTGTCATATGGCAGTGTATGTTATTGTTTATGTTATTGTTTAACAGTGATTGAAACTGTGATACATTCAATTTGTTTCTTTTGAGATTTGGTAGACGCTTATTGCATTGTTTGGACAGTAATCAGTTGTCAGATAGTTACTATATTTAGATGCTAATGTGGTGTGCAAACTTCCGGTCTGGTATACCGTGGACGGTGATAGTATGTTATAGAAGCTTCTGTTATGTTCTAGTGCTGCTAGACTGGCGAGGGCACTGTATAGAACTTTCCAGTAGCGAGTAAGACTATATATCGGGACAAGAGTGTGTTTACGTATCTCTCACGCATTTCATCGCTTCGGTACCAGCCTTCATGTGAAGATCGCTCATCATCCCTGATTCCCTGCCTAGCCATTTTCGGAAGCTTGACTACTGTCGCCGTTGGGTGAATATGTATTATTATCATCACTTTATTTTTATATTTGATACTGACAACTGCCATCATATAATTCATTTCCATTGAATATTGTACTTCCACTCTATTGCGTACTGCCATTGTAATTTGTATTGATTTGTGAACCTAGTTAGTGTTAACGTTTGTAATACATTTGTTGATTGTATACCGCTTATTGGTTGTTTGTTGGTTTCACACTACACGTCCGTTTACATGTAAATTTCTATGTTGACGAATTGTTTTCACTTGGGAATCGACACGTAACAGATGTTACCAGATATTCGCGAAAAGGTGAACGTATCCTACCCCACCGGTGGCACGCATCACAAACACATGCAAAGGCAAGTCAATTGTTGACCGGGAAAAACACAGGAACATAGGGTAAATGTCAAAACAGGGAATTACATCGAACATAATTTTGTCAAATTTGGAAATGTCCTCCACATGTCTACCAAAACGTTTTTGAAAGCTTTACAAGACCCTTGAATGTTGTAACCTTGATCAAACAACTTTTGTAAATCTAGATAAGGTGCGAAATGTAAACACCAAAAGCTGGAGATGCAGGAATACTGAGACATAAAGGGAAAGTTCAAGTCATCCCTCTTGTCATACAGTCTTGTGGAGAGTGATTTATCACTCACTCACTTTATGCACACATCTAAATATGAAACAGTTGATGGAGTCTCACTGGTCTCTTTTATTTCTAGTTCAGGTGGGTTCATCAGTCGAAGGAAATTGGCTATTTATGGTCATTGAACGACATCAGGTCATCGAAATATATGACCTGATATCAGATAAAGTGAAATTTCTTGGCCAAATTACCTACATACTGTGTTTCGGTAAACTCCGATGACATTTGCTTTCATTTTTGACAAATTGCCCTGAACCCCTGAAGATAGATATGAAACGGTGTCTAATGTCACCACGTTTTGTAACAAAATCAGGGGGCGGTCGGGTAGCCTAGTGGTTAAAGCGTTCGATTCCCGACATGGGTACAATGTGTGAAGCCCATTTCTGGTGTCCCCCGCCGTGATATTGCTGGAATATTGCTAAAAGCGGCGTAAAACCAAACTCACTCACTGTAACAAAATCTCCATGGGTCAAGGAGTGACGTTATTCATAAGTTTGTCACAGGCAGCCACAAGGCTATACGAAATGAAATGACATGACGAAGTTTACGTAAGCAGGCTGAAAGCAGTTTTCTTGTGCTAAACTCGCGATTTTCATTCCCAACAACGTTTTGAAAAAATTTGACTCGAAATTTGAAAACTGAACTCAAGAAAATTCTAGTATGTATGTCTAATAGACTGTCGATATTGTATGGCAGTACTTCCAGCAAACTATGGACAGTCTTTCCTGTTTCAAATGTTAATCCCATTGAAGCGAGAGACATACGACGAATCAGTCGTACGGCCCGTTACTGTTCGAGGGTGTATGATCACAGAACACATTCCGACTGTCAGTAAGCGACGCTGTGATTGGTTGGATGAAAGGTCGTTCTGGCGTAATGGGATATCCTCCGATCTGTGTTAGCGGTAGCGAGAACTTTGATCTTTAATGAGATTGTGAAGCAAGCTGAGCGCTCATTGATCTAATCACTTGTTGGAACCAGGCGTCTGATTACTGTAAGTTGACATTGCAACTACACCACAAAGCAGCCGTTTGTCAGGTGGTGGTGGGCCATATAGTGTATTGACGAGGAACGGGATGTACATTCATCAGTTTGTGACGAGGAACGGGATGTACATTCATCAGTTTGTGCTAAGCAACGTCACTTCAACTTTTCTGTTCCTGTTGTTCCTTCAAGGTATGGTTTGGTTTGTTAAACACCGCACTCAGTAATATTCGAGCTATATGACGGCGGACTGTAAATAATTGAGTCTGGACCAGACAATCCAGTGATTAATATCATAAGCACCAATCCGTGATATTAATCACTGGCTTGGGATCGATGACATGCATCAACCAAGTCAGCGCGCCTGATCACCCGATCCCGTTAGTCGCCTTCTAAGGCAAGCATGGGTTGCTGAAGACTTATTCTAGCCCGGATCTTCATGGGTCTCCTTCAAGGTATCTAAAATACATAACTGGGTCGATGCTTCTGCTGGTGGACTGAAACGTAATTATTTACAGATCGCCGTCATATAAGACAAACAAATCATCAGGAGCATGTATTTATGCCGAGTCAACTACAAAAGAAGTATTTTTGATGAGGACTTAAAAACTGCGCCCCGCTGTGTTGCAAAACAAATATATTTCTAAACGTTTTTCTTTACTTATTAGCAGCACAATCTCTGCACTTTTACACAGCAGACGTAATTCAAAATTAACATATCCTTTCTATTAGTTTTAACAAAATCAGTAGTGGTACTATCGTGTCAATGGATTTTCTGGTTCTTAGATCACTTGATTACAGGCTGGTTTGTTTACAGGCTGACGTATGGCAGGAGTACTGCTGTGCGGTGTCAGCAGGGCAGGACGTGCTTACCTGTTTCACGAACACATGCATGGTGTCATCACAGATTTTCAGTGGTCCATTCAAATAATTTCACGCCAAATGGAATGTCTTTCGGCAGAAACACTCGGCTGGTTACTCCCTTGCTTCTAGATTCAATCAAAGATGCGACTAACGGGATCGGGTGGTCAGGCTTGGTTGGTTCCAGTTAACGATCCCAATTGCGTGGATAGATGCTCATGATGTCAATCACTGGATTGTCTGGTCCAGACCGCCATCATATAGCTGAAATACTGCTGAGTGCGTCGTTAAACAACAAACCAATCATGTTACAACCAACTTGTGCCTTCCCGTAGTCAGCAGATGGAAAAGTCTATCTTGTGACAGTTCATCACATGAGATCCGGATAAGCTGTTTCTTGTTTACAACAGAAGACAGGACAATCTTTTGAGCTGGCAACTTGGTTGTCCGAAGCAAATGATGTTTCCTACTAACCCCTGTCTCCCTGCCATCTCGTGTGGTTGACTTTATGCTATGCTCATGATATCTGTCGAAGATGAGGTAGACGTCACTGTTGGTCAGGTATGTAGCGATGCGACTCTTGAAATCAGCTACTGAACCATCTGCTGGCCAGGGTATAGTCCATAGAAGGCTGATCCATCAATGACAGTGGCATTCGCATCACCAACATTACCCCGGGAAAACTCAATCTGGAGCAACCTCTATAGTTGGGATTTGGCTTTACAAATGTCCATTCAATCTTTCATGAACATTGCAGTTGGGACTGGTGTAAGCTCATAGGAAAATATATCTTTCACATCAATATCTCGGTCACTTTATAACAATGCAATGACCCTGGGGTAGATTGCATTCAGATCATAGACTTTTGACATGTCAATCTGAACAGATTTGCATGCTGCTGCCATGGTCTCGACCTTCTTGGAGATGGTAGTGTAAAATCCCTCTGCCCACGTCTTCTCAAAATCTTCCAAAATTGCCTCTCCGATCTTCATGGCATTGTCAACATTGACAGATGCAGGAGCTAGCTTCCCTCTGGATCCAAAGGATCTATGCAAGAGTCAAGCTTCTGACGAAGATCAGCCCTGTCCTTGGCATCTGCTATTATCCTTGCTTTGGCCTCTTCTTTGTGGTACATTTGAACGCTGGTGGCATATGTCTCCTCTTCCATTTTCCACACGTCACACTCTATCTTCCAGCAGATGTGGTGGAGGCTCAGGGCCCAGACCTTCAAACCGTTCGACCTGAGCGTGATTCCAATAATTCCGCCAGCGCTATGTCCACATGAATGTGGATTCAATGAATTGGTCACTCCACAAACCATTCCATATTCCACGAATGTGTCGGGTCATGTGTTGTCCTTTTAGAAAAATACTTTGGATGTGAGAGGGGAGTTTCTCCATGGAACGCAAGTCATACAAGCCATATCTTGCATAGTTTACATGAACCTTGGCGTTCAGCCCCGATATATGTCATCATAAACTAGGCTGGCTTCACGAGGGCCTCAACCCACAATTTTACTGTCCTGCTCTCACTTGCAAGGCTTTCATCAGGTCATCCGCTTTCTGAAAATGATGATCCATGAACAGGCTATGGACCACCTCCTCTGCCATCATCCGTAGGGCACGTACAGTCTGTGGGAACTTCTTACCTCTCAGTAGCTTTGGAACCCCTCCAAACACTTCTGAAAGGACATCAGACAGCCCGTTTTCAGTCATCAATGAACTTATAGCCCCAACAAATTTCATAAGTGCATGCATACCTCCAAGTCGCAAGTTCATGTCTTTGAATCTTTCTGGCTGATCCCATGACACATGCACTGCCAACTCGGTAGAGCTGTAGGTCGCAAGTCAAGAGGGTGAAAGTCCGGTTTGAAATGTAACCTCTTGAACGCTAACCATGACTGTCAACAATGTATCAGGATCAGATCTAGACGTCTTCATGTCGATCAGAGGTAAGTAGAGGGCTTTCGTCTTAGGTTGTGGAAGATGACCCTGCTCCCTGCTTTGTTTTGTGTTGTACCCATGAAATTCTGGACAGTCGTCCTTAAAACGGTGTCCTGTAGAAAACTGTTTGACCTAAGAAGGTCTCCTACCTGCAAACGCTTGGTTGGAAAGTGATAAGGTGGGGAAAGCCTTGATAGCATGGGATTTTAGCCCATGGTACCTGTAGATTTCAACATCATAAGGAACCTCTGAGGAATCATAAGGAACCCTGTTGATCTTTAATTTGGCTTCTTCCTCTCCCTCCGTGAGGTTCTGGGAGTACTGTGTGAGAAGAATGGCAAGTGAGTGTGTGGACTGCCTACGATTTTGAGATGATATGTCAGCATCAACGTTATCCACAACCCCCTGAACTAGACCATCTGCAGTACCAGACAACTTTAAATCTTCAACTGCAGCTTTAGCAGCAGATTTCTTGAAACGCCTGTACTCAGTATATGAACTACATACGCCATATGAATACATACTATTGATATGCTTCTTTCACATGCCCATTTGTTTCAGAAGGGGCCAACTTGTAAACTAGTTGCCTGTGACTTGACAATACTTGTTACGATGGAACTAATAAGCAATGCAGGAAGGGTATTATCAAGTTTTGGTGAAACCTTAGCCAACAGAAATTCACTAACTGACTCTTTGATATGGTCCTATTTATGCTAATGTTGTAGTGTTCCTTGTCAATGTTCTTCAAATCTTGAAGGATGCGTTTATGAGCTTTTGATATAACACTTTCTGTATCATCCTCTTCGTTATTCACAAGTCTGAGAGGCACAGCTACGAAACGCAATGATAATAGCAATACCGGGTGAAGATAGTACCAAGAGTTCATTGCCGAATATCTTAGTTTACAAACTAGTGTCCTGTGAGATATTCAGAGTGTGGCGGAATTGAACTAAGTTTCAAACAGTTCTACAGAATTCCACATTCGTGACCTGTCATTTTTCTGCATTTGAACAACTGACAAGAAAGGCTGATCTTCATCGGTGTTCTATGATTCCTGGCAAAAGGTAGATGCTACCCCAGGGAGAGACCTGAATGAAGTAAATCTCTGCCTAGTCAAGATGATAGCAAGCCTCTTCTGCATGCAAATCGCTCAGCACCCCATGAAGACGATGCTGAACTTTCTTTGCTGCATCATCATTTCGCTTGGCACACGTTTCTAAAAGAGGTTGTTTCTTATCTAGCTGTCGAAACAGGTACACTTCCCTCCATCTGTCGGGATGTTTCGTATCCCTCTCAACATTCCAGGCTTCTCCACAAAAAAGAAAGTGTTTCTTAAATTTGAAGGTTTCTGCAGTGTCTTCCGACAACGAACGCCTTGTGAATCTAGGATCACTTTCTCCTCCACAGTGTCGTTCGGTGTGAGTCCTTGACGTGTAACCTGAAACACAACTTTTATGACACCGTTTATTTTACTACACCGGATAATGTTCGTTATTCGGACAGCTTTTCGTTTTTGTCCTGGCAGTTGAATTTCCATTTGAAGTAGCATTCATGAAGGTCCGGTTCCATGACTGTCAACCCTGTAAAAATGATAGACTCTCAATCTTTTTCCTTAAAATGATTTTTTTAATTCAATGCATTATTACTATTTATAACATAGTAATAAATCAATATTGTTTTGTTGTTTACTCAGCAGAATTCTCCCCTGAAAAAATATATAGCTTATTGGTATGGTCGGAAGGCCTCGCGAAACCCAATAAGTTAACTAGTGTAGTATTTCTATCTAAACAAGACCTGCAATCTACCAGTGAATGTCAAGAATGACCTATTTTCACTTGAAGGGAGATATGTTGTGAAGAATTCCAGAGTATTTCCTTGGATGTGCTATTGATTTCTGAATCTTCAGGATTCTTTAGAGTTGTGGCACTAACCTTAGTGTATAGATAATGATTTTAAGTGCACAGGAAGGGCTTTCTGTGAATTATCGCATATTGGCCTTGATAAGGTATATAAATCTTAAATCACACCGGACCGCCTCCGTGGTCTAGATCTAGGTCCGGGGTTCGATCCCCGACCGCGTCATACCAAAAGACGTTAAAAGATGGTACTTGTTGTTACCCTGTCTGGCGCTTGGCATTAAGGGGCTTAAACAAGGACTGGTCGGCTCGGAGTCAGTATACTGTGTCCGAGTGGGGTATTCATGTTAAACTGTGGCATGGTATCTCATTGAGCTAGCACTATAAATCGGCATCAGTCCTGACTAGTACAAGCAGCAAGACAAACACACACACGTACATGCACGTCGCTATATAAGTACAATAATCTTGGACGCGACGTTAAACCCCATTTCACCTCATCACACCGAAGCCTGAGCAAAGCATTAGTGGCTCCCATATGGCGTTTCAGCGTCTTACTTTCTCAGAAAAAGAAGTAACATGTATAAACTAAACTCACTATTATAAAGGATTTCTACAGCTGGGGTAGGTGAACAATTACAATGGACGTTCTATTCTATTGCTGGTTGAGGGGATATTTTTCTGGACCACCCTGTATAATGCAGACAGATTGATAATCTGCAAAAAGATGGCAGCACACACTAATCACAGATGTTGGCCTCATTTGATTATAAATTGCCTTAAAACCAGCCTTTACTATGTCAGTGATTTAACAGGCATTGTTCTGGTGGTGCTCTAGCACATGTACTTACTTCGAAGCAGTTGAAAACCAAGATCTGGCATACTTTAACAGGACTGAAAACTTAAAACGATGACAAAGCAAACGTGTGTGTGTTTTTAACAGGAAGTAGATGTAATTAAGTGCTGCCATATATTGTACTCCTGAGTGATTACCTTAAACTATTCTAATTAATAGCCTAGCATTGAATTTTACATTTGGTATGCTCAACTGACATAATCCAGACTCCATAAATTGATCAGGAAAGGGTTAATTGTCAAAAGTAGGGTATAAAAACGGTTTGGGAACACTCTACAACATGAATAATAATGATACAGAATTATATTTATGCCTTTGGTAAACATATTGCATGAAGAAATAGAGACAATTTAAAGTTTTTCAGAATCTGTAGGTATCCAATAGCAAGGGGTTAATTACTAGATTTGCCCAAGGGATATCACTGGGCACCCTCCTGATTCTTATTAAACAACCCCTGGGCTACAAGAAATAACAGAGAAAAAAACTCTTTAACCGACAAAACCATTAAAATTCAGGGCCTTGGCTGCTGGACTATTTACCCCTACGTTACACACAGCTGACTTCGCGATGCGGTGGAACGAATTTGCGCTGGATGACTTATCCTAATTCGTATGCCGTTTTATGTCTGCATAACATCAATGGTCAATAAAACGATGTCACATTTTCAAACCAAGGACGATCCGGTCCTACCAAACTTTAATTTCATGGGTTGGTGATCTGATGCTTAGATAACAATGGATCAAGCCCAGGAATCCAATTGTAGATGAGTTTCTTCATCAGAAGAGCCAGCATCGAAGTGTTTTCGACATAATGAAAGAGAGTGGTTCTGCACCCCACCCACCATTGACAGTCAGTCAAGGACAGTGTCTTATTGCATTTGATATCCAAAATGCAAAACACCAAGGGGGTGTTTATACACCATCAAATATGACATTAAAAGCTATATGTGTCTGTCCAATTTACTCCCAGGCTGGATCTGCCCTTAATAATAATTAAGAGACATACAGAATTCAGCGGTCAAGATTACCAGATCGGCCCATGAGCCACCACCTTCTGGCATAGGACACTAGGCAATATATTATTAATACTTGTGTTTTCAAAAACCAAGACCAAACAATACGTTTGTGCAAAATAAAATACATGTGCAATAATAAGAATTATTACACAAAGCGCTTGGCATGATCAGTCGATTGATAGAACCGAGCCCATTTTAACACCAATCTTGGTGAAGTTATGGTCACAGTAATGTGTTGGACAAAGGAACACAGTGCCTGGAACATTGGGCGCCTTTTACAACAATAAAAGTCGTGCTGAGGACACATTCCACCCCTGGTGCCTACATGACAGAACCTTGCCTACCTCTTAAATGTGCAGTCCAACTATATTATTCCTATTCTTACACTCGTCTATTTCCAAAATTGAGTAGTTTGTATTAAATGTGGTAATAAATAAACGTTAACACCAATGGCATTAAGATATTGTAAACGATGCTGTAGCAGATTGATGTTATTCAAAAATTGTACGTATTTCCGTAGAATACAGATGAAACTTAATTCAAGTTCCCAGATGCATTTGTCTTCTTTTCATTTTAGAGTGCCTCTGTGATGCCAACCTAGCATTGAATAAACCAGCCAGCCAGTCATCGACTTACAAGATTAACAATGCTGATATGGCAGTAGACGGTGACATTAACACGTGTAGTCATACAGCGGATTACAAGTCAACTGCTATCTGGTCTGTGGATCTACAAGGCTACTACGAAATACACAACATTACCATCTATAACAGAGAGGACAGATGTAAGTACACATCACGTCTACTAGTGACCACGTAAATATTGCCTCCACGAGGATTCCTGGTTGGAACTGTTTGTCCCAAGCAACCTTTGCTTTTCATACGATACGAACTTTTGGTAGGGTGGTCGATAAATCGGCACTATGAGCCCAGTTACTGAGCCAGACCACCCCACTCATTCAAGTTGACAGGTTGCTTTGGACAATTCTACTCAGGAATACCTTAGCCAATCAATTAGGAGCTTATACAAATGTTAACATCACTCATCTCTAAGAAATCCTTGTAGCAATTCATGGGACAGATTCCTAGTACGAGGGCTGGTCAAAAAGTTCTAAGCCTTACAAACAAAACCAACAATTATGAAAGTGTTCTTAATTTTATTTTTCTCCCTGCTTTTCAACACACTTCTCATATCGATAGTGAAGCTTTTCAATTCCAGTCAGGAAGAAGTTTTCTAAAGCCTCCGTCACACAGACAATGCGACCGCGATGCAACCTCCTTGCGACCAAATTATTTGAAAATCACAATGAGGTTTCAATTAAGTCGCTACAAGGTTTCAGAGCGGTTGCAAAACCCATTCGGCCGCAACCAGTCTTTTGAACATGCACACAAGACTAGCTGCGACCGATTTGGTCACTCGGAGGCTTCATTGGTCTCCTAGAGGTCCCCAAGTGGCATTATGTTAATCGCAGATTTGTTTCCACTGTGCGGCGATCAGTTTCGTCTACACAAGGGTGTTGACTCTGTTGCAACCTAGTGGCGACCTATCAGTGATTGATCAGGGACGAGGCGGTGATCGACCAGCGCTGCTTCATCGGTGACTGGTTGTCGATCGGATGAAAAGTTGTTTCTAAACGTCGATCATTCGCCACTGGGACTGCAGCATGTCACCCTCTATAAATAGACCTGTCTGTGCATTACAGCATCATTTTGTCATTAGTACTCAGGGAGTTCACAGCATTTTTTTCCATTCATCACTATGGTCAGTAAAGGCAGGAATATATAGGAACCAGAAATTGTATAACATACAATAGAGACAACTGCTGTGGTGCACAGGTCTGCTACAGTTGAGCCAGAGCCAACAACATCTCAACTAAAGAAGAGGCCTGATGTTGACAGGCTCAATTCTGAGGTAGCCCACGAAATCACCACGACTTTCTCTCCAATTCAGCCATCAGATTCGCATAGTCTCCTAGCTGTGGACTTCTTGCGATCCAAGGTCTCAGCCAATAGTGCCTTCGCCGTGTCCTTCTCATTCTGCTTTACACCATCATGGCAGCAACTGCAGCATTTTCATTTATTCTTTGCAGGCGGATCAACTGCAACTGTTCTGCTTTTAACATCTTGACAACTTGCAAAGACATGATTTGATTCAGAAAAGCACCCTTTTTATATGAATTAAGTTTTGATAGATCGATAACTAGTCACCGACCACTCCCCTTTCAGTTGCAACAAGTCACCGAAGATTCGCTGACTTGTCACCGATCGGTCTCAACCAGTTGCAAATATTTCGCCGTATCTGCGTGAACAGTTGCCGATCAATCACTGACAAGTTGCAAAACCTATCGCTGACTGATCGGCGAGCATACCCTAGTTCCAAATATGGGCAGAATTAGTTGCACCAGTCTCAGCGATCACCAGTCGGACGCTAAGGATTGTTTGTTTGTTTGTTTGTTCTTTAACGCCGCTCTCAGCAATATTCCAGCTATATGACGGCGGTCTGTAAAATAATCGAGTCTGGACCCGACAATCCAGTGATCGACATCATGAGCATCGATCCATGCAATTGGGATCGATGACATGTATCAACCAAGTCAGCGAGCCTGATCACCCGATCCCGTTAGTCGCCTTTTACGACAAGCATGGTCGCCTTTTACGGCAAGTATGGGTTGTTGAAGACCTATTCTACCCCGGAATCTTCACGGGTACGGCGCTAAGGAAATCGGGCGCCAGGAGGTTGCATCGCGGTCGCTTTGTCGGTGTGACTGTAGCTTAAAGCCTCCCTGAAAAAACCTTTCACGGCAGCTTTGAGGTCATCACAGTGCTTTCAACGTAGGTGATCTTTCAGTTCAGGAAACAGGTGCCAGGTTTGGCGAGTATGGAAGGTGAGGAAGCTCTTCAAGCCCACATTGTCGCCCAGCAGCCTTTGCAAGTCGAAAGGTGTGAGAAGAGTCTATGTATAGTTGCACTCCAGCAGTCAGCATGCCTCACCGCATTTCTTAAAGATCCGGGTTAGAATAGGTCTTCAGCAGGGTTGCTTGTCGTAAGAGGCTACTAGTTTTGGTTTGGTTTGTTGTTTTACGCCGCACTCAGCAATATTCCAGCTATATGACGGCGGTCTGAACCAGACAATCTAGTGACTTACGTCATGAACATCGATCCACACAATTGGGATCGATGACATGCATCAATTAAGTCAGCGAGCCTGATTACCCGATCCCGTTAGTCGCCTTTTACGGCAAAAGCATGGGTTGCTGAAGATCTATTCTACCCCGGATCTTCACGGGACTGATTTCCATAGCGTCCGTACCCGTGAAGATTCCGGGGTAGAATAGGTCTTCAGCAACCAATATTTGCCGTAAAAGGCGACCAACGGGATCGGGTGGTCACTTCCATGAAGCATGTCACCGATCCCACTCAGCACAATTCCACCTGAATGACGGCGGTCCACGCAATTGGGATACGATGACATGCATCGACCAAGTCGGCGAGTCTGACCACCCGATCCCGTTATTTTGTTATGGTTCATACTCGAAAGTTAGTCAGGCTTAGAACTTTTGGACGGTATAAATACATAGATACCGAATTTTTCTCGTATATTTTTCAAATACTTTCCACAAATAACTGTTTTGTCCAAGTGTAAAAAAGTAAGGATGCATGGTGTGTGTTGAAATGGGCTGTGAAATAGGTACCCGCAACATCTGTCAGTTACAGCTTCTAGTATGTTCTCTCGTCCGGTATCATTCAACGTATCTTTTCATTTCTCTGTGATTTTAATCGTAGTATTTTTGTTGATTTTAACTCTTTGGCTAATCCGTCTGATAATCGCCAGTGGCCAGAGGGATGGTGTAAATCCTGCTGGGGTACCATGTAGGTAGCAGAAGTACCGTAAGTCCCCATGGTCCCTAGTGTGGTGGCCGAACTTTGGTTGCTGGCGATCTACAGCCCGTTTTTATATTGTATCGTCTGTGTGGTATCTGATTATTTAATTGTTCTAAAACTAGTTTTAAAACTATAATCTGTGATATAATGCTGGTTGTTGTACTGTCCTTCGATGACAGCTTTAATATATAATATAAATGCATAACTTGTTCAAGTCACGATATGGCTGAAATACTGCCGATGTGACTTTAAATATTAACTCACTCACTCACTCTAGTATGTTCTCCTTAACCTATATACCAATGTATGAGCCACTAGTTCGCAACCTCGAGACACGTGTAGCTATGTTGATATGTGGCGTGTTGACAGTTTACTTCAGATTTCATGATTTTGAAGTCACCGTACTTGGGAATACACACCAACACTGTCCAGCCTTGTGTTTGACCTATCCCGGAGTCCTCCCCAGATGGGGCGTATCGTTGCAGTGCCATGATGGAGTCCGGGGCAGGTTTCTCCGGCTCACAAAAGTAGTGGAAAGTGACAGAGATACGCTGAACATGTGCGAGATGCAAATCTACGGTGCACCAGTGCAAGGTAATAGTCAAACTATGTGTGTGTGTGTGTGTGTGTGTGTGTGTTGTTTAACGCCGCACTCAGCAAAAGTCCAGCTATCGTATCCAGTTGTGAAGATCGATACTCAAAATGTCAATCACTGGATTGTCTGGTCGTGACTCAATTATTTACACAGACCGCCGTGTTGATTGATACTCATGATGGTCTGGTCCAGACTCGTTTAGTTACGGACCGCCGTCATATAGCCGGGTTTGTATCGTTTGTTAAACGCCGCACTCAGCAATATTATTCCTGCTATATGATTAAATCGTTTTAAATCGTAAAACCTTTAAACTGACATGTCTAATCTTATTATTGTGAAATGTTATAACATGAATACCTTATAAGTGTAGTAGACCATTATAATTTAATATGCTTTATTGTTTTATTGTGCTGGATAATTGTATGTGTATTATTATAGTCATTGTTCCAGGGGCCGCGTGGAGATCCGGGGTAGAATAGGTCTTCAGCAACCCATGCTTGTCTCCCCGTGGAGATCCGGGGTAGAATAGGTCTTCAGCAACCCATGCTTGTCTCCCCGTGAAGATCCGGGGTAGAATAGGTCTTCAGCAACCCATGCTTGTCTCCCCGTAAAGATCCGGGGTAGAATAGGTCTTCAGCAACCCATGCTTGTCTCCCCGTGAAGATCCGGGGTAGGATAGGTCTTCAGCAACCCATGCTTGTCTCCCCGTGGAGATCCGGGATAGAATAGGTCTTCAGCAACCCATGCTTGTCTCCCCGTGAAGATCCGGGGTAGGATAGGTCTTCAGCAACCCATGCTTGTCTCCTCGTGGAGATCCGGGGTAGAATAGGTCTTCAGCAACCCATGCTTGTCTCCCCGTGAAGATCCGGGTAGAATAGGTCTTCAGCAACCCATGCTTGTCTCCCCGTGAAGATCCGGGGTAGAATAGGTCTTCAGCAACCCATGCTTGTCTCCCCGTGAAGATCCGGGGTAGAATAGGTCTTCAGCAACCCATGCTTGTCTCCCCGTGAAGATCCGGGGTAGAATAGGTCTTCAGCAACCCATGCTTGTCTCCCCGTGAAGATCCGGGGTAGAATAGGTCTTCAGCAACCCATGCTTGTCTCCCCGTGAAGATCCGGGGTAGGATAGGTCTTCAGCAACCCATGCTTGTCTCCCCGTGGAGATCCGGGGTAGAATAGGTCTTCAGCAAACCATGCTTGTCTCCCCGTGGAGATCCGGGGTAGAATAGGTCTTCAGCAACCCATGCTTGTCTCCCCGTGAAGATCCGGGGTAGAATAGGTCTTCAGCAACCCATGCTTGTCTCCCCGTGGAGATCCGGGATAGAATAGGTCGTCAGCAACCCATGCTTGTCTCCCCGTGAAGATCCGGGGTAGAATAGGTCTTCAGCAACCCATGCTTGTCTCCCCGTGGAGATCCGGGGTAGAATAGGTCTTCAGCAACCCATGCTTGTCTCCCCGTGAAGATCCGGGGTAGAATAGGTCTTCAGCAACCCATGCTTGTCTCCCCGTGGAGATCCTGGGTAGAATAGGTCTTCAGCAACCCATGCTTGTCTCCCCGTGGAGATCCGGGGTAGAATAGGTCTTCAGCAACCCATGCTTGTCTCCCCGTGAAGATCCGGGGTAGAATAGGTCTTCAGCAACCCATGCTTGTCTCCCTGTGAAGATCCGGGGTAGAATAGATCTTCAGCAACCCATGCTTGTCTCCCCGTGAAGATCCGGGGTAGAATAGGTCTTCAGCAACCCATGCTTGTCGTAAGAGGCGACTAACGGGATCGGGTCATATAACTGGAATATTGTGGAATAATGCGGCGTTAAACAATAAACAAACAAAACATTGTTCTAGGTTGTCAGTTTATAATGAGACCTCACACCCTATCCTGTATCATTATGTTTAGCTACAGATGCACATATTCTTGGCTACTACAATCTGGCGTACCAGTCTGTTTGTTTTACTGGCGATCTCAAGCCCATTTTTATATTGTGTTGTAAACTGATACTTTCTGCTTTTAAAGATTCTCAACTAGTTTTAAATCAAATCTGTGATATTCTGGTTATTGTACTGTCCGTCGTTGACAGGTTTTAGTTCGGTCTAGATATATGTAATATTAATGTACTTCTCGTCACGGTATGGCTGAAATACTGCCGATGTGACGTTAAATCTTAAATCACTCATTCACTCACTGTTTGTTTTATGCCTCACTCAGCAATATGTCGGCTACATTACGGCGGTCTGTAAATAATAGTCTGGGCCAGACAATCTAGTGATTGACAACCTGAGAAGCGATACGATGGCATGCATCAACCAAGTCAACGAGCCTGACCACCCGATTCCTTTAGTCGCCTCATACGACAAGCATATTCGCCTTTTACGGCAAGCACATATAGCCAGAATATTGCTAGCTGTATGTGCTTGCCGTAAAAGGCGACAATGAATGGCGTAAGAGGCAACTAATGGGATCGGGTTGGTTGACATATAGCCAGAATATTGCTGGGGGGGGGGGGGGGGGGGGGGGGGGGGGCGTTAAACATCAAACAAACCCATGAACGTTTATTAACAAAATCGTGTAAGTAACGCATGGGCGGATACAGCTTTTTTGAAAAGGAGGGGGGGGGGGGGGGGGGGGGGGTGTGCACAATTAAGATCTATTTATTGTCTTTGGTGGTAATTTACAAAGAAATAAAGATTTTTTTCGAAATAAAAAGGGGTGAATTAGTATCACACAGATAATTGTTTGATGATTTGAATATATTTGTCGTACCAACGCTTCCATCCGAACTATTTATATCATTGATTTCAGCGATCCAAACACTGCCCTCTCCTTTTTATATTTGACCTGGATACTAGTAGGAATACGTTTTGCTTGTGTTTTTTTTTATGTTTAACGCTGCACTCAGCAATATTCCAGCTATATGACGGTGGTCTGTAAATAATCGATTCTGGACCAGACAATCCAGGGATTGACATCGTGAACATCACATCGATCCACGAAATTGGAATCGATGACATGCATCAACCAAGACAGCGAGCCTGACCACCCGATCCCGTTAGTCGCCATTTGCGACAAGCATAGTCACCTTTTACGGCAAGCATGGGTTGCTGAAGACCTATTCTACCCCTGATCTTCACTAGGAATACGATACCTAAGTCTTTAACGTTTTTGCATCTCTATGTGACATTTCGAAGCTGTACGGGTTTCGAAAAGACATCGTTGCTCACGTGGTACTTTTAAAATGTGAAGATTCCGGGGTAGAGTAGGTCTTCAGCAACCCATGTTTGCCGTAAAAGGTGACTATGCTTGTCGTAAGAGGCGACTAACGGGATCGGGTGGTCAGGCTCGCTGAATTGGTTGATGCATGTAATCGATCCCAATTGCGTGGATCGATGCTCATGATATTAATCACTGGATTGTCTGGTCCAGATTCGATTATTTACAGACCGCCGTCATACAGCTGGAATATTGCTGAGTGCGGCGTTGAACAACAAACAATCAAACAAACCAACCATGTCATACCTGTCAAGATCCGGGGTAAAATATAGGTCTTCAGCAACCCATGCTTGCCGTAAAAGGCGACTATGCTTGTCGTAAGATGCGACTAACGGGATTGGGTGGTCAGCCTCGCTGATTTGGTTGATGCATGTCATCGATCCCAATTGCGTGGATCGATGCTTATGATGTCAACCACTGAATTATTTACAGACCGCCGTCATACAGCTGGAATATTGCTGAGTGCGGCGTTAAACAACCAACCAACCAACCACAAGACGATTACTTGCTTTTCACCTATAACCTGAGTATCAAGAATATGAATTTAACTATTGCAGAGAGCGGATTATGTCAAAGTCAAAGAAGATTTGATCGCACGGAGGGTAGAAAATACGATGGACCTGACACGATTGACCTGACAGCGACAGAAAAAGTCTTGACCTGTGCATCGCAGTGTGGGAGGGCAGACGTCTGTATCGGCTTCAACTACAACGTAGTGACAGGGCAGTGTCAGGGTATCACCAATCAGAATGAAGCGATGATCGAAAACCATGAATGGTCACACTACACAACAGCATGTTAGAATTAAGTGACAAGTTACCGTGCCTTCAATACCTACCCTGCAGGATGTTTCCTTTTTAAACCTTCACACTAGTTTCGAATATTATTATCCCAGGCTCACAGTAGATTAAGGGGCGGTCGGGGAGCCCAGTGGTTAAAGCGTTCGCTCGTCACGCCGAAGACCCGGGTTCGATTCCCGACATGGGTACAATGTGTGAAGCCCATTTCTGGTGTCCCCCGCCGTGATATTGCTGGAATATTGCTAAAAGCGGCGTAAAACCATACTCACTCACTCACAGTAGATTAATCTTAACTTAACGACGTTAGGTCTATTGCCATGCATCTGTCCTCCCAAATGTATTTTTTTTTTGTTTAACGCCGCTCTCAGCCATATTCCAGCTATTTGGCGTCGGACCAGACAATCCAGTGATTCCTCGCAAATGTCCATGATCTTCTGTCTTCTAGTAGACTGAGCATTTTCTGTAGGCAATAAACTATCTTTTAAATCCATTGTTGTTATTCATATTTCTGACTTTCACACTGACTTGAACTGTCTTTATTATTTCTTGAGCTCCATGCTTGATAAACCTGATGGGTGGTTACATTTGCGCAGTTGGCGCATCAAAACAACATCTCTGGCAGGCCGTCTGGCCCTGGGACCTATCTCATGCTGAAGGTTGCGAACAGTCTGAGTCTGGTCAGATATCCTTGGCATTCCTCAATTGCTACCGTGCAGCAACTGACGTTGACATTAGTTTCGGGTTCACGGTGTTTAGGATCCAGGGTAGAATAGGTCTTCAGCAACCAATGCTTGTCGTAAGAGGCGACTAACGGGTTCGGGCTCGCTGACTTGGTTGATGCATGCCATCAATCCAAATTGCGTGGATCGATGCTCATGATATCAATCACTGGATTGTATGGTCCAGACTTGATTTATTTACAGACCGCCGTCATGTAGCTTGAATATTGCTGAGTGCGGTGTTGAGCGTGGTTGTCTGTTTGGCTTGATCGTGGAATGATGTAACTGTGTTTTGGGGTACCAAGGGACTCTTGAGCAGTTACTTAAACGTACTGCAGTTCAATGTCGCCCAGGTCAGTTTAAGATATTACTCAGCAACTCGCATGCCTACGGGGTTTCGCCAAGTCTATGAGTGAGGGTCAGACGACCGTTGCTCCTAGTTACCCACATTCATGTTATCGTATCCCAATTGCGTGGGTCCCGTGAAGATCCGGGGTAGAACAGGTCTTCAGCAACCCATTCTTGCCGTAAAAGGCGACTATGCTTGTCGAAGGAGGCGACTAACGGGATCGGGTGGTCAGGCTGGCTGACTTGGTTGATGCGCTGACTTGGTTGATGCGCTGACTTGGTTGATGCATGTCATCGTATCCCAAATGTGAGACCCGTGAAGATCCAGGGTAGAATAGGTCTTCAGCAACCTATGCTTGTCGTAAGAGGCGACTAACGGGATCGGGTGGTCAGGCTCGCTGACTTGGTGGATGCATGTCATCGATCTCAATTGCGTGGATCGATTCTAATGATATTAATCACTGGATTGTCTGGTCCAGACTATTATTTACAGACCGCCGTTATGTAGCTGGAATGTTGCTGAGTGCGGCGTTAAACAACAAACCAAACCAAAGCCATATTAGTATTTGTAAAAACACACATTATAGTTGATATCTTGCATTATCCACCAACTTCCAAAACTATAGCTAAACTATTTGTTTTTAACCAATGTCGCCCAGACATAATTCATCATATTTGCAGAACATAATATAACAATGAATTGAATATTTTCCAAACGTCAGTCATAATTATCTAAACCAGTATTCTAATCTCAGGACACCATGTTCATAAAACTTTATTCTTCCCAATTCAGCAACACAGCAGTATCTACGAGCGTTTATTTTTGAATGGAATGTCGAGGGGCGGTTACGAGTTGGCGAACGGCATCTGGCCTCCCTCGAGCTCAAATGGACTGATTTGTTTTCTACGGTGGCCCATAAGGGACATGGAGTCTGTTTTTCAATATTTTGATGTTTAACTTACTTTTATCTTAACCTTTTGCAAAATAACACAATCTGCCATACAAATATGTGATAAATCATGTATAAAAACATCCGAAAATGTAGTTTTAAGTAGCTTTTGAGTCGCTGAAATGTGAAGTGAAAATGTCAAAAACTAAAATGGAAAAGTCAAAAACTAAAATGAAAATGTCAAAAACACAAAACGAAAATGTCAAAAAACTAAAATGAATACACAGAAAACTATTTCCACCGCGGTGGAAATAGTTTTCTGTATTTTCATTTTAGTTTTTGACATTTTCGTTTTGTGTTTTTGACATTTTCATTTTAGTTTTTGACATTTTCGTTTCGTTTTTTGGCGATTCAATATCTTCTTTACACATGATTTATCACATATTTGTAAGACAAATCATGTTAATTTGCAAAAGGTTACGATAAATATAAGTGAAATATCAAAATATGGAAAAACAGACTCCATGTCCCTTATGGGCCACCGTAGTTTTCGGACTGATAGTTTTTGATTTCAGCAGGCCCTTATGGTCTGCAGTTTATTTAGGCAATTGTTTATTAAGCATTTTTGGAGTAATGTCATATACATACCTTTCATATTTATAATCAGTAGGATTAGACCTTTTAGATGGTGTATGACATGTAGTCGCAAAGATGTTTTACAAGCTGCTAAGTTCCTGATAAATGTAGACCCGTGAAGATTCCAGTGTAGAATAGGTCTTCAGCAACCCATGCTTGCCGTAAAAGGTGACTATGCTTGTCGTAAAAGTCGACTAACGGTATCGGGTGGTCAGGCTCACTGACTTGGTTGATGCATGTCATCGATCCCAATGGCGTGGATCGATGATCATGATATTAATCACTGGATTGTCTGGTCCAGACTCGATTATTTACAGGCCGCCGTCATATAGCTGAAATATTGCTGAGTGCGGCGTTAAAGGGGCCGTCACACCATGACGTTCTGGTCAAAGTTCTCTGAACATTTCAATCGTTCAATTTTTGAGCGTTCTAGAATGAGGATGACACATCTGGCATGACTAGCGTGTGTCTAACGCACGAGAAGCGTGTAACAGCGACCAAGTAAGATACCCCTGAAAACTATTAGCGTGTGCTAACGTGCCACTGGCGCGCGACGAACGATTTGTCAACGTTAGACGAGCGTGTTGAGCGTGTGACTAACGTGTGAATAACGACAGAATAGCGTCTTGCTGGCGTGTTATTTTTACGGTCGAACGGGTACAAAACGCTGGAAATTTCATAGTGAATTCAGTTGTTCTTGTGAGTTTGAACAATCAGCATCATGCCGCCAAGACGAAAAAAGGGTATGATGGGGGCTTCTGCTACTAGCGCTGCAAGTAAGAAGAATGCAAAGCCTCTTTCACTAGCAATGTCTTCGTACGAAGAAAAACACCAGGAGGAAGAGCACATCCGAGAATTAACGCACCATGTGACACCCCCTGAAGACCCTAAACACCCTGAAAACTCCAATGAGGACGGTCCGACCATAACAAAGAGAGGGAAGAAGCAGAGACAGGATTGCAGGATCCTGGACCGGGCGGTTGAGGATAGTCTGGTGGAGTTTTTCCCGCGAAAACGAACTGCTGTGGAACTCACAGAAGACAGATTACAGGAACAAGGCGAAGAGCGTTTAAAATTAAACGTTGAAGAACGCTGGTCTCAGTGAGAACTTTTGTGCATGTTCAAAACTTTTTTTCCGGACCAGCGTTCACCGCCGATCACCGACGTTCTATAGCGTTCACACAACGCTCTTCTGGCGCTATCCCAGCGACCACCAACGTTTCCTCAAACGTCATAGAACGCTGACCAGAAATTCATGGTGTGACGGCCCCATAAACAACAAACCAACCAACCAACCTGCCAAATGTAGACTTCATCTGTCATCACCGAGTCTCTGGGAGCTCAGTGTGATGGCAGTAAAACCTTCTGGTTGACTGGTTCTGTTTTGTAGCGTATATTGCAAGAGTATGTCTCTCTGCTTGAGCTAAAAAGCTTGGGCCTACATTTTTTTAATGTTCTTGACCTTAAGGCCCTCATTCTACTCTGCTCAGTTTCAGATGCTGCCGTGGAAAATACGGAAGAAAATCCTTAAAGATGAAAAGAATATAAGTCACGTAACACCCTATGAAAGAGAACGCACTATCATCAAATGTCAAGAGCATATAAGAGGTGGGGTGAAATGGGGTTTAACGTCGCGTCCAAGATTATTGCACTTATATAGCGACATGTACGTGTGTGTGTGTTTGTGTGGCTGCTTGTACTAGTCCGGACTGATGCCGATTTATAGTGCTAGCTCACTGAGATACCATGCCGCAGTTTAACATGAATACCCCACTCAGACACAGTATACTGACTCCGAGCCGACCAGTCCTTGTTTTAGCCCCTAATGCCGAGCGCCAGACAGGGTAACAACAAGTACCATCTTTTAGCGTCTTTTGGTATGACGCGGTCGGGGATCGGGCGGACGCTCTACCACTAGACAACAGAGGCGGTCAGAGCATATAAGAAATGCATGGACAAAAGTATAAGATAATATCAAAATGAGACAAGTAAACAGTGTCGTGACCTAAACAAACATTCACCAAAAGAATACCGGAAGCTACTAAATAAATGATATATGACTAAATCCGATAATACTCCTGATATCGAAACGTAGACCTACATGAATTTTCAGTTGTTTCGGAATTTTTTTCACAAGTATCCTTAAAGCGAGGCTCACTTAGTTTGTAGAAATGAAAAATATTTTAACTCCAGCCCGAGCAGAATTCAGAAAACAAACTATAACGCAGCATTACCAAAACAGTACATATGAGGAAACGATGATATCCAGATTGGATATGAACCCATTATATACAAACACTACCTCAACGCAAATATAAAATTCATCAATGATCTGATAAAAGATGACGGTACATTCTTTAATTTCAAAGAAATTACAGAGAAATATACATTAAAATATATACTTAACCAAATTAAAAACTTCACAATCCTAAAATTTTAACATTTTGACCAGTTATCATTGTGGACCCTTATTGTGTATTTCAACAGTAATGGCCACGTATTGTCTTCAGATCATGAACACCCGTTTTGTGCAGGTGAATCGATCAAAATCATGTGCACAGCACTATAGTGGAAAAAGTGTTTTTTCACGTGCAACCGGTCACGTGGTCATAATACC